GGATATTTCCCCCATTTGCGGGGAACGAGGGAAAATTTTTCAATTTTTAAGGGTAATGTCTCCAACTAGATACGATTTGTAATCTTTTGACGTATTGTTGAAAGAAATCGGTTGGGTTTTTTAAGACACAAAAAAAAAAAATAAATAAACACATCATGGTAAAATTAATACCTTCTCAGCTTCGCATCGACGTTAATAATGTTGACAACCTTTTAAGGGATAATTCTAAAGAGTCGTTATTAGAAAAATAAGTTTTAAATAAAAAGCAAAAATGTATTATTTCAATATTTATTTTAAGATTAATCAAGTGGTTTATGATAAACCGATCACTCTGTATATAAAAGTATCACTATGCCCGAGAATCTTCAAATGTTAAATTAAAAAAGTAAATTTTTTGTGAAAAAATTGCCAAAATATCAGTATTATTAGTTGTTCGTATTTTTATAAACTCACAACAATGTGCTTTTGTACCATACTTTAAGTTTAAGTGTTGATGAAGTCATAATTATAATTAATGCTACGTATCTAAAAATAGTGGTATTACAAAAAAACAATTAGCTACCTTTATTTGTAATCCCTCGCGTATTAACATGTATATTAACTCAAAAGTTTTAAATTTTGAAGTTGTATATATTTTTAACGAATAAAGATATGTTAAAAATTCAAATGCCATTAATTGTTAAAGTAAAACAACATTTTATTAAATTCTAATTATTTGTTTCCACTTGAAAAAATAAAATGGATACTCTTACAAGGCATAAGGGATGAGCTGAAAAAGTATTTCATATCCTATAATTCAAGAATAATATGCAACGATAGTAAAACGAACGTGATTAATAAGCTGTTATAAATCTTTAGTTTTTTTTAAGGAAGGTTTTCAAACCTACGTCGTCGATAATTACTTACGATGATCATATAGGCCTCGTTCGAATCGAATCAAATATATCAGCTTAGATTACCTTGATCAAATATTATTTGTATATACCTGTATACGTTTACTAGAAGCTCTGTTTTTCAGCATTAAAATAATATTGCAACCCCCAATAAAGCATTATTTTTTTGTAATAATTAATAATATATTTTCATATGTGTTTAATTAATTAGTTGCTTATGAGTATTTAAAGTACCGTTGTTTAATAATCATAAGGTCAAAAATAATAAAACATGATGATATTAGGTTTTAAATTTTTCAAACAATAATTTTATTATCTCAGAAAGCTGTTTAAGAAAAACATTTAAGTAGTACTTTTGTAGAAAATTACTAATTATATATCATTAATATAACTGTATTATTTGGTTCACAAATAAGTATTTTAAAGAGTGTGTACTGGTTATGTTTACTTTTATAATGAGGTATTTTTCAATAATGTTTTAATTCATGTCTAATTATAAAAAAAATTACAACTTCCAAAATATTGTTACAGAACTCAATATAGTAATAATTTTATATTTTAAACTGAAATCAGACTATATAATAGAATTATTTGGCAATAAAATGTATGACTTACCATATTAAAGTTTTTTGTAATTTTCAATACTTCGTTAAAATTTATAATTAAAACTATTTTAAAAACTAATAAATATTAAAAATATTTAACACAAAAAAAAATTACTAGAAATCGCTGATACGTATTTTGAAAACAATGTGACTATTATCAAAGCTAAACATATACTTACATTTCAAATTTTATATAAAATTTCATTTAAAATTTTTTTAAATATAGATTATCATTCGTCATTATGAGCAAAAATATTTAATAACTTATTAAATTTGATTTATATTTTCATAAATTACATTATTTGTTTCATTTTCGAATAATAAATTATTGATTTATGTCAATGCTAACCATGCAAAACAATTCTTTAAAAATATTGTATTTTTTAAATTGTTAAAATTATTTTTGTTATAAAAACATAATACGTGTTTATAATGCAGTGTCATTTATTGAAAATTATATCCACAATATTTTTGTGGTAATAAATAAAGTTTTATTGATTTTTTTTAAATGACCATCATAAATACCAATTGTAATGTAAAGAAAAATATTTCTTAGTGTAGTTTATAAGGGTAAATAATCCAAATCTTCATAGAAAGAGGAGTGATTAACCATACTTATAATTAGGTGATTATTATGATACTAGTGTAAAGTATTTTCTGTGATAAATTACTTAGTCATTTCTACGAAATCCATATATATATGTATATATATATATATATTGATAAGCCTATCTGAATCGATAGAGATTGATCACATTCAGTATCGAATCGAATAAGATCGATTTTGAATAACCTAGATAAATATACTAAAGTATCTATTTGTTTGTATTATAAATGTGCAGTAAAGCAGTAGCGTTTACATATTATGATTTATTTGAGTCATATGAGTGTATTGTACATTAAATTATCACTTATAATATTAATATATAATTTGTGACACCCCAAGGTCATGGCTGCTCCTTCAAAGCCACTACCTCATTGTATACTGGACCGTTACACACACGCGTTATCGTCGTGGTGTAAAGTCCAACAAATGCCTAGCGTCGAAACCCGCCACAATAATACGTTGATTAGTCATCTTGTGACACCATCATGTATCTGTCGTTCATCTACACTACAGCCTGTCTTTTCATCATTAGTTACGTGCGGTAATTAAATACACATAGAACTGTTCATTATTTCTTTTATTATTTTATTTATTGTCACTTTCGACTTTATTTGAAAAACCTGGTAATAAACGACTCAACGCCAACTACAACTTAGACATTATGTTTTGTTTAAGATCAAGATTAGCAAAATAGTCGTAGCTAAAAAACGCTTCGATGCAAATCTGTAGATAGTGTTTAATTTTAAAAAATTGGTGAATTATTCTAAAAGCTATGATCTCCTATTTCCTTATTTATATCCTGGTTACAAGTTTTATGATTTATAAGTGTAATATATGTGATGGTGTCACGTTACCAATATCGTGAGAATTATTTTAATAAAATAAAGACAGCACATCCGCTGCCTGAGACTGATGAATTAACAAATAATATTTATTGCCAATTTGGCAATAGTTCTAATTATTATAAAAACCCAAAAGACCTGCCCATCGTGGTCAGTCGACTCCAGTGCCTTGTGTCATTCATCAGTCTCAGTACTCGGTTGTCGCTGTCCGGCTTACTGCTTAAAGTAAAGTCTTTGTTTATTCCTTTTTTAAACCTATCTACTCTCTTCCACACCATTTCAGAGTACTTGTGTCTTGCACTTCGTCTGCACCTCATACCTAGGTGTTATCCTTATTCCCTTCCTATATCAACAGCCTTTCGACACCCACAGCTAATCCGGAGTGTCAGCACGGTGAATACCAAGACAGCAGGCACCAAATCCTCATATTCATCTTCGCATCACAATAACGATTACATTTACGCTTTTATTTTATTGTATTACGACATATATGAATTAATATATAAAGAGAAATGGTTTTATTTCGATAAAAATTATGTCAAATCAAAAAAAAAAATATATATGAAATAATAGGTAAAGACATCAAACATCTATAAAAAAAGAACAATTATATTGATTTGTTCATTTTTAAAAAAGTAATGGCAGTTATAAGTAAAAAAATTGAAAATTTTTCAAAAATTAGTGATTTTTAAATTTGTAATTTTTTTGGAAATTTTCTCCAGTTACAGGGATTGAGGGAAATTTTTTCAATTTTTGAGGGTAATGTCTTCGACTAGATACGATTTGTGATCTTTTGGCGCATCTGTAATATAGGTCATTATTTTATAAAACTGAAAACAAAGCAATTTTGTAATGTTTGATTTAACTATGAATTTCTTGATCTATTATTACAAAAATATAATATAGTCTATTATTTGTAAACCTAGAAGTAGAACACTTATGTAATGTTTAGATTAATTGTAATTCCCCAAATTATTGTTACTAGACCAAGAAGTAAATATTTATAAACCTTTTTGAAAATGATTACTATATGAATTTTATAAAAAATAAAACAAACAAAATATTTTAGTATATAAGATGAAATGGAATGAATTTGAAAGGGGGGGAGAAAGAGAAGACCTCGGGAGTACCGAAGGTAATCTCTTTCCGTGTGGTACGTTTGTGACATTAAGTTTTTATTTTGTGTATTATTTATTTATCCGGTTTTAAGTGTATCAATTTTTTATATGTTTTATTTTGATTGATTATATCTTTATTAACTACATTTTGCGTTATTATTGAACTACTAAAACTATAAGTTAGAACAAAAAGATTGTTCCATAATTTAAATACAACACATCGTTGAAAGAAATCGGTTCGGTGAGAGCTGATAAAATGTAGTAACAGACACAAATTGATTACATTATAATATAATCAAACATCAAAATATAATATTATTATATTGTTATAATGAAAATATTAAAAATAAATAATATTTTAAAAAAAGGTGCGTTGTCAACGTTATATTTAATAAAACGCTCTCAAAAAATATAAATTAAAAAATTTTGATTTAAAAAAAAATATTTGCATTATAAAAGTTTGTTCGTTTTAATAGGTTTTAAATACAATGTTTTGTTGCTTAATACTTATAGTTTCATTAAGTCTACTAACAAAAGCAAAATCGCAAAATAATAACACATTATCATTAATGTTGAATGGACATTATATTAGATGGGTGTCATCTAAACAACAAGAAAAGTTTATTAATGATAAACTTTATGTTCCCAAAAATATTATCTATACAAGATTTCAGTTGTGCTCAGATCGAGTCTTTTTGACAGCGCCTCGTTATAAGTAACTACATATTAAGTTTTTGTATAATAAAATAGTATAAATCAAATAATTTATTCGGATAATACCATAACTTTTAATATTTTTCAATTATGATGTAAGGGATTTAAATTTGAAAAATACAAAACTATAGTCCTGTAAAGATTGATTATAAAATTAAATTTTACTAATTAAATAAATTATATTCAATATTTTTGTGAACAATTTTTATATTTACTTTTGTAATTAACTGTTTATGTGTAGCAGCCACGTTTTCAAACTAAAGTGTTCACTTAAAAAAAAAAAAATTGATACAGAAGAATTGTATTTATTTGTTCAATAAAGCTGATGTAATATTCCGTAGAAGAGGGGTACCTTTCACTTTGGGATACGCAATGCTGACAAACGGCGACAGGTGTTTTAACTATGTGAGAGCATTCCCATCCATAGAGAGTCAAGAAATAGGAAAAGGTTCACGAGAAAGTTCACAACTATTCAATGTTGTTGATATATATCTAGGACAAGATGGAACTCTATGGGCCCTCGATGTTGGAATTTATGAAACCTTAAGCGATCATCCTATTCGAGAAAATGATCCAAAAGTAGTCGGATTCGATATTTCTACAGGAAAGGTAATAATTCAAGAGAATTTTTTCTTAAAAAGATGATTTTAAAATAGATCTGTTTAATAATACGTAGCAATCACGAAATAATTGTTTAAGTGTATGAAGGATACTTTGTATGAACGCATCACCTGATGTTACTAATACGAGTTAGTTAACGTTGGTTGTTTTTTGTCTTCAACGAGGCTATGTTGAGGAGAAAAAATAAAGGTTTTATGAACGATTGGAATGAATTTAATGCATTTAAACAATTATTTGCATTAACACAAATCAGAAGAAAATATTTAGATTAATCAGTTTATCATACTCGATAACCCCCAAAATTAATATAATATTGAGAAAAAACAATTTTTTATTGTATTTTAGTTACATATATTTTTAATATATATATATATATATATATATATATATATATAAATCACTTTTGAAAAAAGTAATGAAAATATATCAAAATCATTTTTTGAAAAACTCTACTACTAGAAATATTTTTTAGAATCCATTCCGACTAACTTTTGGGGTAGTAACTTTATTTTTTCTAATTTTTAATGGCATCATACATATTTAACAGGCTTATAAAAGAACAATTAACGTAATTAAAAAAATATTCTCACGATGTTTTCAGAATATACTTTGGCGGCGAATATTACATTCTTACAATATATTAAAGGTATATTTCTAAAATGTTATAAAAAATATATTTTGACAATATCCTACGGAATGTTTTATGAATAAAAATAAATAGTATATTTCTTGATACATATGTATAATTATTATTAGATATCTACAAGGGAAATAATTTAATTAATTTAATTACATTGTTAGGTAAATATATCAAAAAAATAAAGGAAACATTCGTACATCTAGATAATATTTCAATAGAGAAAATAAAAGGTTAGATAATGATATAATTAAGAAAATGACTGGTTGAAAACCTATTTTGTATCACTATTTCAGAAGTTATTAACTATTTATAGTAATAACTAGTGGTGAGGAGTGGAGGCTGTTATTTTTATCACTAGTCGTTTCCCGACAGTACTCTTCGTCCTACCTATATATAAAAATGCGAAAAACATCTAAATTACTGTTTAAAAATTAAAAATGTATGTTTCCATTAAAAAAAACGAATTTGACGCCCCTATACGTTACGAGGGATGATACTAAAATGTTAGCTGATAAATCAAGAAATATAGGTAACTAAAAAAATAAAGAATTTGTTTTCCAATATTATATTTATTTTTCTAGTAATTGAGTGGTTTATAATAAACCGATCACTTTGTATATATTAATGTAGTAAGTGGCACATAATACTGCCACAATTGTGCTAAGATAATCAAAAAAATGAATTATAAATGTAAATAAATAAAAGATAAAACAAGCATAATACATAAGGCCTAAGTTGTGATGACCTAAAATGATGTTGAATGATCAATATGTTAAGTCGAATGAAATTAGCTATACTTTATAGTGCTTTATAACCATCTGTAAAAATTACAGTATTAAATTATTTAACATAAATTTCTTACTAATTATCATTACTACAATGAGTGTCTTATGAATTATAAAACTAGTAATCAGGATATAGTTAAGGAAATAGAAGTTGATGATGTTTCTGGAATAATCCTTTCTTAAAATTAGATAAAATTATCCATTGAACTTAATAGAATCTTTTTTTATGGTAGTGATTTTAAACACTATCCGATTAATATTCTATCCTAACTATGCCGTGAACTCACTGTGCTACTGTTTTTATTATATGTGAATAGGTCAAATATGTGATATCATTACGTTCACTGTCATGTCTATCTAGAAGCCGACTGCAATATATAGTCGTCGAATACTTGAAAGAGTCTACTACAGTGCTTTACATTGGAGATGGTGGAACTCGATCTATAATTGTGTGGTACGTAGAAAGCAATGAAGGATATAGAATCAAGTTACCTCACATAGTCATTCAGGGCTGCAGTGAGCTGCCACACGAGGATGTATTTTATATAGCACTCATCGAACTATGCACAGGAAATTACCTTTATTTTTCGTATTTATCAAGTTCAGATTTGTATCGAGTACGTACTAAAGATTTACGAAGACAAATGAATCCCCGATGCATAGTTAACATAGGTGAGACTTCATAGTTAAAAATCAACTCATAAGTATATAGATCTGGCATTAAAATGTGCGATAATTATTAACCCAGGACCCAATTTAAATTAGAAAACTACCGAATGACTTTTTACATAATGACCTGATCGCGTTCCCGCAATGCCGACATTATAATTATATATAATTAATATTCATTTGTCTAATCATTAGAGTCTTATGATTAACAGGAAAAAAACCATGCAAAATGGTATTCTTAGGTGTGGGTTATGAAACTGTTCTCTATTTTCGGATTAGAGGTCAGAATCATCTGTATAGTTGGGACTCTAGATTGAGTTTTTTGGAAGAAAACTTCATGGTCGTTAGAAAAAGTAAAGACTGTCGAGCTATCACACACGTAGATGTTGATAATGTTGGCACATTATGGGTATTAGAAAGTAACATTCAAGATTACCTTATGGGGCATGTGGGATGTTATGGACCAAATATGATGTTAGGGCCAGTGCTTGGAGATCCTATACCTGTCTGGAGTAATTGCAATGAAGAGGAAAAATGTTAGACCGTGAATCTTAGTGTGTTAAAATTAATGTTTAATTATTTAACATACCATAGTTGTTGGAATCCAAACTTAGAATCAGATTTTCAATATATTAAACAATCGATATAATCAATAACTTGCTCAATTGATATACTAAATTTGATATGAAAACTTTTGGGAAGAAATTATTTTTACTTTTATTTTTCTAACACAATTTGGTGTCACTTTAAGTTTGAAACTATTAAACTTATTAGTTTAAAATATATATTTTTTTTTTATGAATATTTGTATCTATTAAATTTTAGATTTGACAAAATGTTAATATAGTAAAAATTAATTAAGTTGTTTGATAGTTTTCACATTCTCACTTCTTATCAATAATATTTTTATTGGGTTTGTATTGACTATATGAGAACAAAATAAATAATAATTACTCGTTATATATTTACATATTCTTATAATTTATTTCATCTTATTTTTATTTTTACTTATATATTGTATAAAGATAAATTAAATTATATTATATTATTATTTTTTATTTTTTGATGCTTGGTATAAACAATAAAAGTCAATAATGGTTGGTTTTCAGGGGAGACAATCTAAGTTCAGACATTTTTTACTATTTACAAAGTTATTAAAGGAGTTATTAAAAACACATTTAACTAAATTTACAGAACTGCAAGAATGCAATCATATTAATGACGATGTCAACATTTCAATTATATTAAAAATATTAGGTAAGAAAAGATTAGAACTCATGAACTCTAAATTCCAGTTGGACATTGAATATGAAATAGCTGTATTTATATCGCCAAAATTTAAATCGTTAAAAATGTTTTATGGAATTGACAAATTGAGAATTTTAGATGAAACTGATATGAAATATTATAAAATTCAATCGGTGAAAACTAATGAAAGTTATAGCGATTCACAACAAGAAATTCTGAATCGATCAAATAATAAAAAAAATACACTTTTTTCGGAATGGATAGACGTTTCAAGTGTAAAAATTTCAGAAAAACGCTTTAAATATAAAAAGAAGTTGAAAGAATACAAAAATTAATACTTTGACATCTACGATAACAATTTATTACAATTTTGGAAAAATAAAAAATTTGAACTCCCATGCCTGACAAAATTAGCATGACAAATATTGGCTATTCCAGCTAGTAATGAGAATAGTAAAAGGTCATTCAGTACTACTGGAAGGGTAATAAAAGAACGAAAGATTTGTTTAAACGGTTCTATAGTTGATGGTAAATTATTTTTGAATAATTATTTCAAAACTTAACTTTAATAGTATAATATACTTTTTTGGCAATAGTCCAGTTAAGTCCCAAAGTTTATTTGGATTAATGTTTGTGTTTGGTTCAGTATGGTCTACATTTTTATTGTATCTGGTTTAATTTTGTCTGGACAGAGTTTTTTATTTAATAGTCCGGTTTGGTTCGATCCATTTAAAATTTCTATACGTTCTGGTTCAATTTTAATTTCATAAAATAGTTCGGTTCGGTCTTTTTTTTTAGTTTTTCAGAACGGTTCGGACCAGTCCTTGAAAATTCGCACCATGCAGAGGTCTACTATGTACTATGCTACTATTTGAAGGTCAGTGTTAATACCAGGGTGAGAAATAATATCTTGAATACCTGATGATTAATAAGAAAGGATCTTTGTATTTAAATTTATACAGAAAGAAGACTGTGATTGTTGACTCACATAAAAATAAGTTTATACAAATAACAATAAACAATTCAGTACAAAATGACAAATTTTATAATCAAAACATCCGTGTGGTATAACAATAATAAAAATAACAATAATGAATATAATGTGCTAATAATTTACATATATGTAATAGTAACTGCCAAATTCACCAATCAGATTTTTGTATACAATTATTATATGCCAATGTTCATAGATAAATATTTTAATCTAATGATTAGCAATTGAAAGTGTTAAACATAATCCGTGTAATTTAAATAAAATAATAGAAAACGTCATCCGTGTGACTTACAACAAAAAACTCAACAACTGAAAAAAGCAAAGAAGAGAAAAAAAATGATACTAAATCTTATTTAATACACATGTCGACCGGCAATGATAACCGCCTAGTGACCGGGAGTGGAAGGGAGGACGAGTGGACAGAATTGAATAAGTGCGCTATCTAGTATTTTTAAGCAGCGCGATCAGTCAGAATAATTGATCTTTATTTATTAATTTTTATAATATCTGCGTAAAAATGACTACAATATATATAATTAAATATCAATTTAATTATATATATCTATTAAATTAAAAAAAAATAATAATAAAATATTAATTGTATCAAAAGGTATAAGCGTTGTCTGAAAAATCTTACATAATTTTTTGACTGATGATGTTTAGTACTTTTGTTATGTGAAAGATATACTTTTCAATAAAAATATTAACCTAGTTCAATAAAATAATAGAAATTAATGTATAATATTCTATTAAGAAATACAGTATCGATTGATAGTTATAAAAATAAAAAATATGAGCCTATATTAAGTTTTTTAATATATAGAATGGATCAATAGAATAAATTGGAGTATTATTGACTCATTAGCTACACGATAACTCCTTATACTACAGCTTTAGAATGTGTATTAGAGTTATTACTTTCTTTATATATGTGGGGTCTGTACGTTTATATATCTATGGTAACAAACAACTGTAATAACCAAAAATTGTAGGAAATGTTCTGAAATATCTTATTCTAAAAATCTGTTGGTTAAAAAAAATTAAACATGCCCATTGTGGTAAAAAATTTTAATTGGTGGCAAACTAATAATAAAGTATTTATTAAAGTTGAAATACCATTCGTTAATAAAAAAAATGCTGATGTGTTGACATCTAATAAATTTCTCAAAGTAAGTACTAAATTATTCTTAAATACTTTCATAAATATTATTAATAGTTGTTTATTTATTTATATATCTATTGACTTGTTTATTTGTTTACATATCTATTTATTTTATTAATTAATTTTTTTATATAAAGCCATATGCTAATATAATATACATATACATATAAATATTATTTATTATCAAATTACGACGAACAACTGTTTTAAGAATTACTATTTATTAATAAAAATCTTTATTTCAAAAAGATTAGTTGTTTGTCACATATTTTTGAAGTTTTCCTTTGGGATGAAGTCAAAGAAGACCAGAGTAAATGTATATTTGGTGATGGTTATGTTTTATTGGAATTTGAGAAAGTTAGAAGTAAACAATGGGATTATGTGGCGTTACAAAAACCAAAAGAAGAACTAAGAATAATTAAAAGAAACATATTAAACGAATTAGTTGATCAATACCAAAAGAAAATCGAAGAAAAAAAAAGTATGTTTACTAAAAGACTAAATAAGACTGTTTTCTTTTTTTATTTATATATTTATTAGCCAGAAAATATTTTATTTGCTATTAATTGTAATGATGTATAGCATATTTTTTTTAATTTTAAATTATAATTACACAGGACAACAAATAATAAAACATTTTTTATTACTTGTAATTTTTAAATTAATTTCTATATTAATTTTTCACTCCGATTCTGAGCCTGGCTTCAAATTTTATTTATCACATTTAGTTTTTTAGATGATAAATTAAATAGTAAAATCATAAAAAAAAACATTTTTTATGATTTTCTTAAAAAAAATCCATAATGTTTAATGAGAGTCGTGCAAAATTTAGGACTATTCCATCAAGTTCAACTATTTTTTTGGAAGTTTAAAGTTGAATATGAGTTTATTTAATTATTCATAAAAAACGATGAATTTTTGACTACTATTTTTTTTTATTCAACTTATAATAATAAAGCTAAAGCCGACAAAAAGAATATTTTATTCAGATTAAAAAAAATATTAACTTTGTGTATTTTAAGTAAATAAAAATTTAAAAAATTGCTGTAAATATAAAACTGGAAAATTCACAACAAATACTGGTTTTTTATATATTATTAAAGTATTTTTTTATTTTGAAGTAAATGAAGAAATGATAGAATAAAATCCTAAATATTTTTTTCAACGAGAAATAAGATGGTATATTTAGATTTTACTTATGACGATTATATAATTAGTTGCTCTTGAAATTACAAAAAAAGGTTTATATGCGATTTGCTGAATATGATTATATTTTATTTATATTTTATTATTTGTAATATATAAAAATTAAATTTTAAATTATTATTATTTAGTTAATAAAACAAAACAAGATCGATTATCTGTAAATGAGCAAATAGAACGAGACAATGAAGAGCATAGATACATTCAGAAAGTTCGAGAAGAAGAAAAAGAGAAAGTTTTAAAAGAATTAGACACTTGGAATTCAACAACATTTGTCAATTATCACAATCAAGGTACTTCTAATTGAGTATATAAACAATCTAATAATATAATTATACCAGGATCAAGAAGGTTATTATTTTTAGTGATTTTTGAAATTGACAAATATAATACAATTTCCTACTCAAATTAATAAGTTTTAATTCTATAATAAAGTGCCCAAAATTGGGTTGTCTCACTACATACTTTCAAAAGTATGATTTCACGAAGATAGTTTAAGAGATATGATAAGTTGTATGTAGGCTAGAAACAAAGGAAGATGAAAAAGAAGTTTATAAACTTGTAAAAGTAAGAGAAAATAGGTGTAAATTATCACAATGTAAGGCGTATAAAAAGTGTTGATAAGGTGCTATCAATTAATGATGATATGAAAAAAAGATGAAAAGATTATTTTAAAAAATTACTGAATTAGGAGTATCCAAGAGGGACATCAGAGATTATCTCATGGAATGGAGGACCAATAAATTTAATTAGCGAGAATGAGGTATGGTAGGCAGTAGCATAAATGAAAAAGAATAAAGCCATAGGACTAGATGAAATATGGAAAATATTAGTCAGTGTTACCATAAAGTGGTTGAAGGATCTTTTTAAAAGCGAAATGCCAGAAAAATGAATAGTTTTGTAGTACCAATACTTAAAAGCAAAGGATACTGTGAAAATTATAGAAGTATAAAGCTTATATAAGTTAAAATATGAAGATTTGATAAATAAACGGTAATAGACAAAATAATAAGAAATGAAACATCAGTAACAAAGAATAAGTTGTCTGAAAAGTCAATAATGGAACCGGTGTTTTGTATAAGATAACTAGTATAAAAGTATGGGAATGAAAAAAGAGCTGTGTTGGGTATTTATAGATTTATTGGTAGCGTATGATACAGTACTTCAAAGGTTTTATAGTGGGCATTTATGATGTCCCAAAAAAGTACATTAATATAATAGAGGATATTATGGCACTTGTAGCAGAGTAAAAAGTGATAAATTAAATACTTTTTTTTTTAAGTATATTACATTAGTTTTAATTAAAAATGTATATTAAAGTGTCAGTATTTCCGGAACACTTTTAACAATTAAGTTGAAAGAGTTTTACTGTCTATACGCATTTTTAAGTATTGAACCCAACCCCCTTGTATGAAGGAAAATGTCTGATTTAAAAAAAAAGTATGTCGAATGAAATAAGTATATAAATAGTATTTCTCATGAAAAACTTGTATTGATCCGTACTTTTTTAAAAAAGTTATAGTTATATAATGTTAAAAATGTAAAATATAAAATCGAGAATTTCAACACAAAAATAGCAAATGATACCCATTTTCACCACAAAAACAAGTCCAGAGGTCAAATTTTTTTTTCCATAATAAAGTACATTACATTAGCTTTAATTTAAGATATGTATAAAAGTGTCAGTATTTCCGGAATACTTTCAAAAGTTGAGTTAAAAAAGTAATTTTTTTGTGAAAAATTTGTCATTTCGTATCCTCCCAGTGGGCAAGTAAATGGTCAGATTTATATAAAAAATGATAGGTTTTTGATCTTTTAACGTATCGTTGAAAGAAATTAGTTTGGTGAGAGTTGAGAAAAAGTAAGAGCTGTAAGAGGGTGCGCAAATCTCATCGTGGGTTCAGTCCACCCACTCTCCAGGCGGTCTGGTCCGATGAGGTACCTGGTCCACTCGTCTTTTGTCCTTTCCTCCAAAAGCCACCAGCCAGCCAGTTGAGCATGGTCATCCGCCTGAATTCCAGCCGGCCCTCGAATTCGAGGGGTCGGTCACGTTCTCAGCGGAGCAAATACTATGCCCTGATAATCAAAAATCCAAAAGTAATTAAAAACTAAAAAATTGAAAAAAATAAAAATATTTCGATTAATTTTATTTGAAAAATCCAGATAATTAGTCCAATGTATTATATAATGGACTACACATAGTAACTGAAGACATGTTGAATCATAAGGATTGAAATATTTGCTATTGCTATCTGAAACTCTTACTATAATAATTTAAAATTTGTTTTGAATTCATGATAATTGAGACTAAGTTATTAAAGTAGAACAATTAAATGAATGCATATGAACATAAATACACTATCATTATACTTTTTTAGGAGACAATAACACAAAAGAAATATTTAATAATTCTAAATTAAACAAGAAAAAAAGTTTTGTATACATAGAAAAAGAAGAAGTTATTATACCAGAACCTAGAAAATCAAAAACAGTTAAAATTAATTTTACACATAGACATTTCCCCACCCCTAGTAGAGAATCGACTAAAGCTGACGAGCAAGAGGTACTTAATACTTTTTTTTAATATTTTTATGATATGAATATATACGTTTTTTTACAAAATCTTTTATTAGTGGCTGAAAAAACAAATGGAAGCACGCCGTGCTTCGGGATTCGTAGAAGAAGACTTAAGACCTGAAGAACAAGACCCAGATTGGTGTTTGCGTAAAGGAGAGTAAGCAAACGTTTAAATAAATGAATTTATATATATAAATTATTATTACTCTTATTCATTTTTAAATACTTATAAAAATTCATACTTTGAAAGATATAAATACCGTAATATCAATTAATCTAAAAATGTATATAATCCTATATAAAAAGAGGTTCCGAACCATCATCATAGCAATTTTTCTCATAAAATATTTTAAATAAATTTTTTTAATAATATTATTGAAAATAAACCCGCAATTATTTCTGAACCTGGTGATATTAAATATAAAAAAATCAAATTTTTAATAGATATTCTCTTGGAAGTAATAATAAAATAAAATAATAATTAAAAAATTGAATTTTTTTCATAGTATATTTTTGAAAGAAAATAACTACTTTGGAGCCATAAGTGCTTACTCGCATGGAATAAAATTAAGCCCTAAAATGGCAGTATTATATTTAAATAGATCAAAAGCACATTTTCTGGTAAAAAACTATCATAAAACTATTGAAGATTCTACAAAAGTAAGTTAATATTTAATCTATGAAAATTAAGTTAATAAAATTTTTTTTTATACAATTCAATTATTAGTTGAATTATATCTTATTTAAATTATAAGGCATTAGAGTTGATGGTTCCGCTTGTCGAGAGTAATTTATTATGGAGATCGGAAGCTTATTATTATCGAGCAAAAGGATTGATCGAATTACAATCAGCTCATTTGGCAGTGGATGAACTTAAAGCAGCACTTACATTAGTACCATCGCGAGGTAATATTTATGGACCGGAATTACAACATGCTATAGAATTAGCTCCTGTTCATGAAGAAACCATGAAGAAGTCTAAAGTATTTGATTTAAGTGAACCACCAACTGTTATATATAAATAAAGTTCTAAACTAAAAATGTTTAATTAAAATATTGTGTCATAAAAAAATTTTTGTATACATTAAGTATTAAATATATTAAAACAATAATAAAAAAAAAATGATGTGTTTTATTGTAAAATATTTTAAAAAGCTATTTATTTTAGTAATATTAGATATTATGAATCCACTGCTTCATCAAACAAAAATTTATAGATTTAATAAAATCGATAACATAATTATTAATTTAAATAAGCCACGCTTTCTCCTTACCCCCACCCTCATAAAACCACTCCTCCCTAACCCGCTATCAAGAGACCACGCTCACTGTATGACTGTATTTTACCCTACTCACGTGAAATCTCAAGTTCTTAATAATCAAAAGTCTAATCGTAGTATAAATATTATTAATTAAGAAAAACAAAATAATATAGTTTTCCCGAGTAAGATCCCTGATATATATTTTATATATATTTATGCTTAAAAAAATTGTGTATTAAAATTTTCTTCTTGTCATTACGGACAATTTAATTTTTCTCGAAAAGAAGCTCTTAAACTTCAACAAAATGTAACAAATATAATAATATCTTCTATCGCCTATGAATCAGAGAAGTTAATTGTTAACAATAATTTTGTAGACAGTATTTTAAAAAATTCACTTAATTCTATTTTATTCAATTTTTATAATAACGCTTTTGAAGAATTGGACGCTGAGTATAAATTTCTTAAATTGATGCAATTAAACGATTATTATGAAAAACCTAAAGTTATAACTCTAGATAACACTATATAGAAAATGTGTGTATACGTAACACTAACACTGTAGATGAAAAAAGGTTAAAGGAGCTATACTGCCATTAAAATTTCAATTTAAAAAATACTTTGAGGTACCCAAAGATTTTAGAATCTTTCATAAAAATCACGATTTCTTAAAAAATCAAAGCGTGTTTACAAATTTTATTAGTAGTCAATTGTGGAATTAAAAAGTTTTTTAAAATGAACATTTTCTTAATGATTTATTTTAACATATTAATTAGTAAAAAAAAACGATAGCACAGTGGGGTCGCGGCATAGTGGAGACATTGCATAGTAGGGTCCAGTGTAGATTTAATCTGACAGTGATTAAAATCACTATCATAAGAAACGCTTCGATGCAAATCTGTAGATAGTGTTTAATTTTAAAAAATTGATGGATAATTGCAAAAGCAACATCAACTTCTATTAAAATAAAATACAAAACCCATAATTTTCATACAAAAATAGCATATTTTTCAATATGGTAGCCATTTGCGTATAGAAGATAGATCGTCGGGACAAATTTTTTTTTTTCATTTTGTAGTACATAAAATAAGCTTTAATTTTATATATGTTTAAAGGACGCAGTATTTCCGGAACATTTTCAAAAATTAAGTTGAAAAAGTTATTTTTTGTAAAAAAGTTAAATTAATAATTGTTTCAATGAATATTCTTTATCATTAATATAATGATTGAAAAGATGTCATTTCGATGAATCGATTCCATAGGTTTCAAATCATACCCGTTTTTCCTTAGTTTTTCCATTACTTTTTTTATTAATTTTAATAACTATTTCTCCGGATGTATAATTTATAAATATTTTGTACAATGCATATACGATATTAAAAGTCAAAAAACGATTTTATTGTCTGTTTCTTTTAACAATTCAAAACAATGTTTTATAGCGTTAAAAACGTAATAAATAAAAAGTAACGACTTTATCCATAATTAAACCCCGTCCGAACGAGAAACCATCGCATAGCGAGTCCGGTTATAGTGGACTATCATTGAAACGGTACGACGCGACCGAAATACTGAAAAAAGTTTTTATCTAAAAAAATGTATTTTCAAAGAATGGAAAAATTTTAACCGGAAATTTTCGACCGAGACGAAAATCTGTAGAAAAATAACTATTCCTGCACTCTGTGTACTGTTTTAAAACGGTAGTTTACTGTTTTGAAAAATATTTTACCCAATTAATCCAGCGAGTTTAGTGGGATATCGCGAAAAAAAATGTCGATTTCTTTTAGTTGCATATTATTCTCGATTTATCAGCTATGAAACACTTTTTATTATCGTCCGTAATGACTTATCGGATGATAAATCGAGAATAAATATGCCATTAAATGAAACGGGATTTTTTTTTTTCTAATATTGTTTTTATTTTGCGAGTGCGGTTTATGACAAACAGACGTGTATCCTCAGACATTTTTGTGTTAAATAATCATACGATACACGATAAATATATATCGTTTAAATAGAATAAATTAAATAGAATATTCTACAAATGAAAAAATATGATTAAAAAAAAATACTCGTATTTATTAAGCAATAAATAATTTTAAGAAACCCACGACTTGGATAAATACGGTTTTGAAAATATTACACTACTTTTTTTATTATGTTTAGCTCTTTATCATAACTTTGCACAGTTGGATTTCTATGTAGAATTATATAAATAGGAGCGTTTTAAACATAAACATTTATAATAAAATATAAATGTAAAATAATTTTATCGAAATATGTTTTTTTTTTTACAAAAAATACCACAAATCCATTGTGATGTATTTTATACAAATTTTTAGCTTCGATGCGAAGCGGAGAAGGTATTAATTTTACTATGATGTGTTTTTTTTTTTTTTTATGTCTGTTGCCACTTTTTCTCAGCTCTCACTGGACCGATTTCTTTCAAAAATACGTCAAAAGATCACAAATCGTATCTAGTTGAAGACATTACCCTTAAAAATTGAAAAAAATTCCCTCGTTCCCCGCAAATGGGGGAAATATCCAAAAAAATTACAAATTTAAAAATCGCTAATTTTCGAAATTTTTTCACTTTTTTTTCTTAAAACTTCCATAACTTTTTGAAAAATCAACAAATCAACATAATTTTTTTTTATACTAAAACCTTAGATATTTACCTTTCATTTGATATCATTTTTTTGAAAATCTATCACTTAACCTGCTCATTGGGGGGGATTTAAAATGGCAACTTTTTTACAAAAATTAATTTTTTCAACTTAATTTTTGAAAATGTTCCGGAAAGACTGCGTCCTTTAAACATATATCAAATTAAAGCTTATTTTATGTACTACAAAATGAAAAAAAAAAATTTGTCCCGACACTTTTTTTTCTACATTTAAACGGCTGCCGTAGTTAAAAAAACACTATTTTTGTGTTAAAATTTTCGATTTTCGATTTTAAATTTTCAACTTAAAAATGCTATAACTTTTTGAAAAATGTATATATCAGCACAAATTTTTTTTTTCTAAATACATTATAAGTACATCTTTCATTTGACATACTTTTTATTAAAATTGGACAATTTCCCCTTATATAGGGGGCGTTCAAAACTTAAAATATTGTAAAAAACATAGATCTTTTTCAACTGAACTTTTGAAAATGTTCCGGAAATACTGCGTCCTTTAAACATATATCAAATCAAAGGTTATGTTATATACTATCAAATGAAAAAAAAAAATTTGTCCCGACATCTTATCTTCTATGTGCAAATGGCTGTCGAAAATTTAAAAAAAAATGTAATGTTTGCGATAAAAATTACATTTTATCGGGATGTTTTTTGTACTTAAAACTGCCATAACTTTTTCAAAAATGAACAAATAAAAATAATATTTTTTTGTATTGAAACCTTAGATATTTCCCTTTCATTTGATATAATTTTTTTTGAAAATCTAACACTTATTCTGCTCACTGGGAGGATTTAAAATAGTAACTTTTTTACAAAAAATAACTTTTTCAACTTAATTTTTGAAAATGTTCCGGAAATACTGCGTCCTTTAAACATATATAAAATTAAAGCTTATTTTATGTACTACAAAATGAAAAAAAAAAATTTGTCCCGACGATCTATCTTCTATACGCAAATGGCTACCATATTGAAAAATATACTATTTTTGTATGATAATTATGGGTTTTGTATTTTATTTTAATAGAAGTTGATGTTGCTTTTGCAATTATCCATCAATTTTTTAAAATTAAACACTATCTACAGATTTGCATCGAAGCGTTTCTTATGATAGTGATTTTAATCACTGTCAGATTAAATCTATACTGGACCCAACTATGCAATGTCTCCACTATGCCGCGACCCCACTGTGCTACCGTTTTTAATAATAAAGTGTAAGCTAAAATATATGATATTCATGAAAATATTTATAAGTAACGGTCGTTCGTCAAATACTTTTCAATTTTTTTTTTTTTTTTTTTTATCAAACCATTTATGTATATGGATTTAATTTGATTAATTTATATAATTATTTTAGTATTCTCAGTTGAAGTTTTTCTAAATTATTATTATTTATATCTCGAGTTGATCAGGTAGTTCTAACGAGAATTTTATTATACTGTGAAGTATAATAAAATTATATTTCACATAAAATATTTTAAATAAATTTTTTTAATAATATTATTGAAAATAAACCCGCAATTATTTCTGAACCTGGTGATATTAAATATAAAAAAATCAAATTTTTAATAGATATTCTCTTGGAAGTAATAATAAAATAAAATAATAATTAAAAAATTGAATTTTTTTCATAGTATATTTTTGAAAGAAAATAACTACTTTGGAGCCATAAGTGCTTACTCGCATGGAATAAAATTAAGCCCTAAAATGGCAGTATTATATTTAAATAGATCAAAAGCACATTTTCTGGTAAAAAACTATCATAAAACTATTGAAGATTCTACAAAAGTAAGTTAATATTTAATCTATGAAAATTAAGTTAATAAAATTTTTTTTTATACAATTCAATTATTAGTTGAATTATATCTTATTTAAATTATAAGGCATTAGAGTTGATGGTTCCGCTTGTCGAGAGTAATTTATTATGGAGATCGGAAGCTTATTATTATCGAGCAAAAGGATTGATCGAATTACAATCAGCTCATTTGGCAGTGGATGAACTTAAAGCAGCACTTACATTAGTACCATCGCGAGGTAATATTTATGGACCGGAATTACAACATGCTATAGAATTAGCTCCTGTTCATGAAGAAACCATGAAGAAGTCTAAAGTATTTGATTTAAGTGAACCACCAACTGTTATATATAAATAAAGTTCTAAACTAAAAATGTTTAATTAAAATATTGTGTCATAAAAAAATTTTTGTATACATTAAGTATTAAATATATTAAAACAATAATAAAAAAAAAAATGATGTGTTTTATTGTAAAATAGTTTAAAAAGCTATTTATTTTAGTAATATTAGATATTATGAACCCACTGCTTCATTAAACAAAAATTTATAGATTTAATAAAATCGATAACATAATTATTAATTTGTTTGTTACTAAGTTTCGTGGCAATATACAAATCAATTAGTCTTCTAAATCTAATTTTAACTGAAAAAAAATAAAATGATTACAGATCTAAAAGTAATAATTATATATTTATCTTATATTTTTAAAATATATCATACAATAGCTTTTTCAATTTATGATAGATCGAAGAAACGTTTGAGACCATTCGTCACGATCATAGAAAACGCCAACTTAAAGAATGGGAAAACGTGATAAAAAAACCAATTGATTCAAATCAAAATCAAGTATATGAACAGGAAAGACGACAAATGTTTACAGCTGTCAACAACTTTATCACAGAATTGTCAGTGGAAAAAGAACGCATGATTAATTCTTGTAACTAATCTTTAAAAATTGTTGTTTTGGAAAGGGAGTCAAATTAATAAAAATTTTAATAATTGGGCATTGACCATTCAGCTGATATTCAGGAAATAATTTATGTTCAACTATTCGTATCGATTATAATTATTTAGTTAATAATAAAAATGTAAAATTTAAATTAATTTTTCGATCAATTTAAATTGGTTGAATTAAATTTAATTTAATTGATAGCAAACATAAGTTTATGCAGAGATACTTGACACGACTTACGTCGCAAAAATGTGGTCGACACTGGTTTTGAGGGTAGAGACCCGTGGGCCGTTTATTAAATGAGCGACAACAGATTATGTTAACAAAAATAAAACAAACCGAAAATATTAACACAGTAATAATAATCTTCGCATAATATCGCGGCACTTTCGCTGGCGTCGACGACGCGATGTCCGGCGTAATCCTTGGACGGCAAATGGTTAGCAGCGTTGTTGGCGACGGTGCGCGGGTGCGGTTCGGTTGGTCGACGTTGTCGCTTTCACAACGGGAGGAAGGCTCTGGCACCATGTGCGGCGGGTCGTCGTCGGCCGTGCGGCATTTGCTGGACTTTGCACCGTAGCGTATAACACGCGGTGTTGGTCAGTCAAATACTCATAAAATAGAGCGACGGCTGATAAAGGTGGCACGAGTCGCGGGGCATCGTGTATAACGAAGCGACGCGGGCCGTGTCATACTTTTCAAAAAATAATTTATAAATTTAAGTAATTTTTTAGGAAAGCAAAAACAAATTTAAAATTCCCATGAGGTAAATCCACACTTTTGAAGTTAAAACAATAAACCTTTTCTATAATATGACTGATATAATTTTTGGCTAATAAAAATAAATACTCTTATCTATACAAATTTATAAGAACTTCAAATATCTATTTTTATGCTACATGAATTTTTATTTATAAAGCACAAACATGATAATTATTTACTTGTTTTATACAAGTAAATAAATATTAAAAACAATAAAGGTGGTAGTATTTTGAGTTTCTTATTTACCAAAGTAAAGTTTTTCATATTACATTGATTCGGACCTTGATAACTTTTTGGATAGATTTAATCATTAAAATATTTTTCTATAATTGATGCATATACATGATGAATATTTGGTCATATGATTGAATCTTATTTTACTTTTATTATCTTATTATGAACTTGTTTGTATTTAATTTAATAAGTGAGAGATATTTTTATTTATATTCTATGTAAATAATTTTGTAAGGAGATAATAGTAAATTTTTAAACTTATAAGGATTTTCTTTTTGATGGACGTTTATTCATTTAAATTAGTGCTACCGCCAGAGCTATTGAAAAATAAGATTGATCAAATGAAGACACAAATGAAATCAGCATTTGAAATGATAACACGATTGTACAATTTGTTGAATATAGAAAAGTCTGATTTAGCTAAGGAAATTGATTTGATGGGTATAAATATAATAAAAACTTTTTTAAACTTTATTTTGATTATCTCATCAAATTCAATCTGATAATCATCATAAAACCCAACATGTGTAAAAATATATCCAAAATTGTGTAATTCAAATTACCTTATCGTAGTATTTTTTTTTTTTTTTTAGTATTTCCTTATCTAATTTGTTTTTAAGATACTAGTTTTGTTGTTTTGCATTACCGATTCATGATCAATTAATCTATTAATAGATTTAGTTTATAAGCATTATATATCTTCTAGCGGATGATAATCATTTTAAAAGTAAAGTACAACGAAATAAAATAATCAAGAGTCGAACTGAAAAACTTAAATGGATAAAAGAATCAATTTATTCCAATACTGAAAGATATAACGAAATTGCACAATACTTGAAGTTCCCGAGTAATTTGTTATTTCCAGAAATAAAAAAAGAATCATCTGCTCAGTTCCAGATAAATTTTGTGTTTAAACGTAGAGCAAAAGAAATCGTAAGTTTTAACTGAAATGATTATTTTAAGGGTAAATGGAATAAAAAAGTTTCTTAGTAATAATTTCAACACATTTTTCACAAATACCATAACTTATTCACTAAAACTTAATTTTTTTTTTATGTCTTTACTAGAATTTTAAAAAACTTTTGTCGCTTCTACCTTGATTCCTTAATATTCATGATCCTCCACATATTTATCTAGTTGTTTCCAGATTTTCCAAATCTTTCTCAATTTATTAAATAATTCTTATTTAATTTTCTGTTGTATTTTAAAATAACTATAATACTCTTAAAGTATGCATTTATACATTTTTATGATTATAAAATAGATCTAATTTAAGTATGAAATGTCAAATTTTACAATTATCTGTGTTTATATCACAATTGACATATTACTAGCTATTTACCTTTATTATTAAGTCATTTCTACTAATTACTTGGACCAATCGAGTAATTAAAGTTTTATATACAGAAACCAATAGGACATCCATTATAAGTTATAATGGATAATAATAAGTTATAATGTTTCTGTATTTTATATGAATTAAAGTACATTAATTTTATCATTTTTTATCAAAAATTCTAAAGGAGTATGTGTTACATTACATAGCATTGGATACATTGGATTTATTAATTAATATAATATTTCTTATAGCTATTTGTATAATTTAAATTTAAAGGAACGTCAGCAAAAGTTCAAAGAAACAAAACTTATTTTAGCAGATTTACGATCACCAATGGATATACTTAGAAGTAAAATTAAAGACAGAGGAATTACTCCAATTTATCGTTTATTGACAACTGATATAAGTAATCCTAATATTATCTACAATTATTCTTGTACATTATTTGGAATGTATGGTAAGTTGAATTGTTTATTTTTGAATGAGTTGAGTTTTAAAAATAGTTGTATTATTTGTTTCAGTGGAAGGAAGAGGGACTACTAAAATTAAGGCAAAAGAAAATGCTTCTATTGAAATGCTTAGAGCAATTTTAAAAAAACAAAATGTTAATTCTCTTTCTTCACATATTAGAAAATTTTCCGAAAAAGAGTAATTATGATCGTTAAACAATAAAAGCAATAACAATAAACATAAACTATTACTTTCATATCTGAATTAAGATTGAAAGATCTCAATCCTTTATTCGCTAAAACAAATTACATCGAGATTTTAGAGAAAGCTTGTAAAAGTAATAATTTTTTACCACCAAAATACACACTACTTCGTCGAACTAAAATAAATTTCAAGCTTGAAATGCATTATTCTATTCAATGTGAGGCAATGGATTTCGTGGCAATAGGTAATTATAAAATTAATATCATAACTCGTTAATACTCAAATATTATCTGTTATAATAATTTTATATTTTATGTACTAACTTTTAAAAGGACATAGTAATAAGCGCTCCACTGCTAAAGAAATGGCTGCACAAAATATCATTGAATTATGGAAAAATATGAAATCAAAACAATTTATCAATCAAAAGAGTTAAAAAGAAGACAATTGAATGAGTGAAATTCATTTTTTAATGATAGCTTATTATTTATAACGAAATAAATAAATTTAAGATTTAATTTTATAACTATTAAGTTTTCTTATGTAAATTGAAACTAGTATTGTTTTATACAACACGGTGTCAAAATTGGCGTATTTTATATCTATGAATAATTTTTTTTCATCATACATTTTAGCTTCGATGCAAAGCTGAGAAGGTATTAATTTTACTATGATGTGTTTTTTTTTTTAAGTATAGATGATATTTGACAGTGATTAAAATCACTATCATAAGAAACGCTTCGATGCAAATCTGTAGATAGTGTTTCATTTTGAGATATTGGTGGATTATTCCAAAAGCAACATCAACTCTTATTTCTTTGATTATATCCTAATTAGTAATTCTTTGATTTTAAAATATAATATATGAATAAATACTAATTATAATTATTAAACTTATGAAAATAAAAAAAAACCAGCACAGTGGGGTGGCGGCACAGTGGGGTCGTGGCATAGTTGGGTCCAGTATAGATTATATCTGACAGTGATTAAAATCACTATCATAAAAAACGCTTCAAAAACCGTACGTCTCATTCGTCACTTAATAACAATGGAAATTTAGCTAGTTCAAATTTTAAAGTTATTTTTCTCGACTTCAAAGAAATAAAAAAATTTAAATATGATTAATTTTTTATACTATGCCATTTAGATTGATATAATATTTATGAAAATCAGTGTTATCTCCTTATAATAAAATAAAATACAAAACCAAGAATTTTAACACAATAATAGCATATTTTTAAATACGGTAGCTATTTTCACCATGTATTCTCCTAATAAGATATTTTAAAATAAAATAAAATACAAAACCTAGAATTTTAATAGAAAAATAGCATATTTTTGAATACGGTAGCCATTTGCGCATAGAAGATAGGTCATCGGGACAAATTTTTATTTTTATTTTATAGTACACAAAATAAGCTTTAATTTGATATATGTTTAAAGGACACAGTATTTCCGGAACATTTTCAAAAATTAAGTTGAAAAAGTTATTTTTTGTAAAAAAGTTACTATTTTAAATCCTCCCAGTGAGCAGAATAAGTGTTAGATTTTCAAAAAAAATTATATCAAATGAAAGGGAAATATCTAAGGTTTCAATACAAAAAAATATTATTTTTATTTGTTCATTTTTGAAAAAGTTATGGCAGTTTTAAGTACAAAAAACATCCCGATAAAATGTAATTTTTATCGCAAACATTACATTTTTTTTTGAATTTTCGACAGCCATTTGCACATAGAAGATAAGATGTCGGGACAAATTTTTTTTTTTCATTTGATAGTATATAACATAACCTTTGATTTGATATATGTTTAAAGGACGCAGTATTTCCGGAACATTTTCAAAAGTTCAGTTGAAAAAGATCTATGTTTTTTACAATATTTTAAGTTTTGAACGCCCCCTATATAAGGGGAAATTGTCCAATTTTAATAAAAAGTATGTCAAATGAAAGATGTACTTATAATGTATTTAGAAAAAAAAAATTTGTGCTGATATATACATTTTTCAAAAAGTTATAGCATTTTTAAGTTGAAAATTTAAAATCGAAAATCGAAAATTTTAACACAAAAATAGTGTTTTTTTAACTACGGCAGCCGTTTAAATGTAGAAAAAAAAGTGTCGGGACAAATTTTTTTTTTTCATTTTGTAGTACATAAAATAAGCTTTAATTTGATATATGTTTAAAGGACGCAGTATTTCCGAAACATATTCAAAAATTAAGTTGAAAAAGTTATTTTTTGTAAAAAAGTTACTATTTTAAATCCCCCCAGTGAGCAGAATAAGTGTTACATTTTCAAAAATAGTTATATCAAATGAAAATAAATTACATAAGGTTTCGATATAAAAAAATATTATTTTTATTTGTTCATTTTTGAAAAAGTTATGGCAATTTAAGTACAAAAAACGGTAGCACAGTGGGGTCGCGGCATAGTGGAGACATTGCATAGTTGGGTTCAGTCTAGATTTAATCTGACAGTGATTAAAATCACTATCATAAGAAACGCTTCGATGCAAATCTGTAGATAGTGTTTAATTTTAAAAAATTGATGGATAATTGCAAAAGCAACATCAACTTCTATTAAAATAAAATACAAAACCCATAATTATCATACAAAAATAGTATATTTTTCAATATGGTAGCCATTTGCGTATAGAAGATAGATCGTCGGGACAAATTTTTTTTTTTCATTTTGTAGTACATAAAATAAGCTTTAATTTTATATATGTTTAAAGGACGCAGTATTTCCGGAACATTTTCAAAAATTAAGTTGAAAAAGTTATTTTTTGTAAAAAAGTTACTATTTTAAATCCTCCCAGTGAGCAGAATAAGTGTTAGATTTTCAAAAAAAATTATATCAAATGAAAGGGAAATATCTAAGGTTTCAATACAAAAAAATATTATTTTTATTTGTTCATTTTTGAAAAAGTTATGGCAGTTTTAAGTACAAAAAACATCCCGATAAAATGTAATTTTTATCGCAAACATTACATTTTTTTTTAAATTTTCGACAGCCATTTGCACATAGAAGATAAGATGTCGGGACAAATTTTTTTTTTTCATTTGATAGTATATAACATAACCTTTGATTTGATATATGTTTAAAGGACGCAGTATTTCCGGAACATTTTCAAAAGTTCAGTTGAAAAAGATCTATGTTTTTTACAATATTTTAAGTTTTGAACGCCCCCTATATAAGGGGAAATTGTCCAATTTTAATAAAAAGTATGTCAAATGAAAGATGTACTTATAATGTATTTAGAAAAAAAAAATTTGTGCTGATATATACATTTTTCAAAAAGTTATAGCATTTTTAAGTTGAAAATTTAAAATCGAAAATCGAAAATTTTAACACAAAAATAGTGTTTTTTTAACTACGGCAGCCGTTTAAATGTAGAAAAAAAAGTGTCGGGACAAATTTTTTTTTTTCATTTTATAGTACATAAAATAAACTTTAATTTGATATATGTATGAAGGACGCAGTATTTCCAGAACATTTTCAAAAATTAAGTTGAAAAAATTAATTTTTGTAAAAAAGTTGCCATTTTAAATCCCCCCCAATGAGCAGGTTAAGTGATAGATTTTCAAAAAAATGATATCAAATGAAAGGTAAATATCTAAGGTTTTAGTATAAAAAAAAATTATGTTGATTTGTTGATTTTTCAAAAAGTTATGGAAGTTTTAAGAAAAAAAAGTGAAAAAATTTCGAAAATTAGCGATTTTTAAATTTGTAATTTTTTTGGATATTTCCCCCATTTGCGGGGAACGAGGGAATTTTTTTCAATTTTTAAGGGTAATGTCTTCAACTAGATACGATTTGTGATCTTTTGACGTACTTTTGAAAGAAATCGGTCCAGTGAGAGCTGAGAAAAAGTGGCAGAAAAAGTGTTTTGTAATACAAGTGTATTATAAAAATGTTCAATATTTACAAGTTATAAAATGTTATAATCTATCTAATTGAGGACTAGATCATTAATTTTGTAATTTAAAGAGAAACATTTTGTTATAAAATTTATCTATTAAATTATTTATTTAATTTTCAAACTTAGAAAAAAATTTGTAAGTTATTATTAAAATTTTAGCTTCGATGCAAAGCTGAGAAGGTATTAATTTTACTATGATGTGTTTTTTTTTTTTTTTTTTGTTGCCACTTTTTCTCAGCTCGATGCAAATCTGTAGGAAGCGTTTTTATGATAGTGATTTTAATCACTGTCAGATATCATCTATACTGGACCCAACTATGCCACGACCCCACTGTTCCGCCACCCCACTGTGTACACTAGTATTTTAATATTAAATTGTTTATTGTAAATTATAGTGTGAATAATATCATTTTATAACTTATTATTATAATTTTATATTGTAAAAAATGTTAGGCATTATCAAAGATAGATTTATCAAAGCAAATTTTCAAAAAATATTATCTATCATATAAATATAATATCAATACATTTTGAATATTCTGGATTTATATATGAGCAAATCGGATATAATCAATTAATTAAATCACCGTTCCTTAACGTAAATCAAATTATATAATTAGAAATGAATCAACAAAATGGAACGTATTTTTAGATCTTATTAATTAGGTCAATTAATAAAAATGTATAATGAAAAAAAAAATTATTCATAGATATAAAATACGCCAATTTTGACACCGTGTTGTATAAAACAATACTAGTTTCAATTTACATAAGAAAACTTAATAATTATAAAATTAAACCCAACTATGCCATGACCCCACTGTGCCGCCATCCCACTATGCTGGGTTTTTGAAAAATATATGTATCAATACAATTTTTTCATGAAAAGTACTATTTATATACATCTTTCATTCGACATACTTTGTTTTTAAATAAAATCACATCCCTTTATATATTAAATATTATATTACACTTATAAATCATAAAACTTGTAATCAGGGTATAAATAAAAAAATAGGAGATCATAACTTTTGGAATAATCCATAAATTTTTAAATTAAATATTATATACAGATTTGCTAAATACTTGACCTAATTATGCCACATCACCATTGAGCCGCTACCCTACTGTGCTGCGTATTTTTGTAACGTGATTTAGCGTATTTAATATAAAATTTGAAGGTTAATTTTTCATAAGACAAATAATTTTGTTTCTACTTTATTTAAAGAAATATATAATCTAATTGGTTGTTTTTGAAATATATGTGCTCTATTACACTTGCATTTTTGATATTACTGGCATGATATATAATAAAATTAGCTATAATGTAACAACAAACATCAATATTTTTTTAAATAGATAAATTTGAAATTTAAAAAATGGGTTGTGTACTGTCTAAATCTAGCACTCATGAATGGGAACCTAATGAAGGTAATTTGAACCAAAAATCGTCATGCGGTCTCACCAGTTATTGGAATTTGCTTAAAAGTGATTTTGAAAATAAGTACTTTAACGAAAATAAAGCATCAATCGCAAATCATACAGATTTTCGTATGTATCAATTGCTAGGTGAAGGTGCTTACGGACTTGTGGCTTTAACTACTCATACAAGAACTGGTGAGGTTTATGCCACTAAAATAATGGCAAAAAAGAAAATTATTAAAAAAGAATTGGTCAGTGTCTTAACAGCTTTATTTTTTTATTATATATATGAAAATTTATTTTTAATAACCAATCATAAGGGTATATTTATTTAAAATACATTAAATCAATAATAATAACATTTTGTTGGTTTCAGGTTCAACGCACATTCAACGAAAAACGTATTTTAGAATCAATAGATTTTGCATTTGTCGTCCGACTAACGTACTTTTATCAAGACAATACTTATCTCTATTTTGTTATGCCATTTGTGTGTGGTGGTGATCTTTTTACTTATATACAACGTAAAGGTCGATTGGATGAGGATAAAGCACGATTTTATGGTTCAGAAGTTCTTCTGGCTATTGAATATTTACACAGACTTAACTTAGTTCATCGAGACGTCAAGCCAGAAAATATATTAATAGACTCATATGGCCACGCTCAACTGGCGGATTTTGGATTCTGCAAGTATGTTCAAGGTCGTACATATACTTTGTGCGGAACGCCAGAGTACATTGCGCCCGAGATGCTAGTCCGCAAAGGTAAGTTTAAAAAATTTATTTCGTTTTTATATATTATATTTTTAGTGAGTAGAATGTTTTTAGTTGAAATATTAATTTTTAATTTTTTTAGACAAACTTTATAAATTAATTTGTCCATTAATAACTTTTAGGGTAAAGTTAAACATTACAGTTTCGTATATTAATAAATCATTAGTTTTATGTAGTGATTTAATTCGAAATAAATCTTTTCTGATTTCTTTTACTAATCTTATCGATTTTTTTAGGTTTCTCACCTTTAAATTTTAATTTTTTCCCTCGTCTATTATTATAGTTAATTTTCCTATTATATTTTTGCAAACTTCCCTAACTTCTGTTTAATTATTACTAATGGGTCTGTCTTGTCATTAAATCAGGTTATGAATATTACATACTAAATCTTAACATCTTTTTTTCCACCAACTTCCATTGCCATTCTTCCTCCTTTACTACTGAATGCATTGTTATTTTTAATTTACTGCTTTACATTCTTGATTCTCAAAATTCATTCTTTCTTATTTGCCGCTATGTTTCTTGGCTATTATTATAAATGCTTTTGGTTCTCTTTTATTATTTTTTCAAAGAACACTGTTCAAAATTTTATCATCTGGTTAGGATGTTAAAAATTCTATTAGGTTCATAGTCATGTCGGGATCAGTGGTAATGAGTTAGTTGATTCTCTGGCTAAAATGGCAAGACATTAATGTTTTGTAAACATTCATTTCTTTGACATTATTTAGATGCTCTTCATTACTTTAAATCTATCTCTAGTCAGTAGTCTTGTCTCCCTTTCAGCTTTAATTGATGGCATCGGTTTATAGCACCTAATCCATTTGAGGTTCCATGGTTGCATTACCTGAATTTCTTCCGTAATTATATTTAATTTTTTTCAGATTTCAGACTGGTTCATAATCTTTTAGTAGCTTTTGATTATAAATTAAACCACAACTCAGTTTCTTTTTGCATTTGCATGAGTTAAACATCGTTAGAGATTTCCCCACTATTTACTAAATGCTTATTAAATTTTAGAATTAAATGATATTCATGATTTTTTCATGGTTTCATATGGAAAATTCTCATTTACAGACCGGCTACTCCACCCCTGATCGTATCGGAAAATTAATTGTTTTAGGTTACGGTAGAACCGTAGATTATTGGGCTTTTGGTGTGCTTATTTATGAAATGGTAGCTGGTTATTCGCCGTTTGTTGAGCGTGACGAAGAAATAATGTACAGAAGAATTTCAACTGGCAAATACACTTGTCCTTTCGGGTTTACATCTGATTTGATGGATATTTTGCGACATGTTCTTGTTGTAGATGTGACTAAACGTTACGGAAATCTGGTCAATGGCGTCCGAGATATTAAAAAACATAGATGGTTTGAATCAATCGACTGGTGTGCCACATTCAACAAGCAAACACAGCCTCCTTTCGTACCTGTTTTACTTAATAGCATGGATTCGAGTAATTTCAATAAATTTAAAGAAAAAATATTTGTAGCATCAAGTAAAGACCAATATAATGACGAGTTTAAACATTTTTAAACGACAATAAATGAATGTAAAGTTATTTACTTAAATTAATATTTATTGTACATTTAATTAATTTTTAACTATTCGTAGTGGCCAAAGATTCAAGACAAATTTTTATAACTTTTGAAAGAAAATTTATGTGATAACTTGTAATAAGTAACTACTTATTGATTATAATAAATCAATAAGTAGTTGTTTCGATAAGTAGAAAAACCATATTATATTAACGAATATACGCCAAACAGGGTATAGTTGACATAATGAGTTTAAAATACCAAGAGTTTTAATTTTTTTAATTATTGAAAGTAAATTTCAAACAAAATGATAGTAAATAAAGGAAGGAGGAGAGTTTGGAATAAACGCTGATATGCGTAGTGGATACGAATATTTTTTAGATTGGTGAAATTTTAAATATGAAAAAATATTAATAGTGGGCTATACAAGCATCTACCACGGAAAATTAAAAAAAAATTGGGTAATGAACATATACTAAAATACGATTCTTCTTTTTTGTATTTAAGAATAACTAAAACAGAATGATTGATCACAATAACGCGGATAATTCAATCGTGGTGACCAACAAATTTTATTAAAAAATTAATTAAAAATTGTTTATTCACTAGGTGAGCAAATAATAATAAATACCAAATAAAGTGCATAATTATGTAATTGCTCCGATTATTTTTAAAATATCTTCTTTAACATAGCGTAAAGTATGACATTGCTATTTCTGATTTTTTCATTGTTTCTTAACTAAGGTATATACAATAAGGTTACGTACTATTTTCTGCTTATTTTATTCATAAAACATTTATCACATTTTGTGAGTAAAAAAAATTGTGATAGCTAAAATATGAAAAAATAATTCATTGTATAGCAAAATAAAAATTTAACACTATACTAAAAAAAATATTTTTGATGTTTTGTATTTGTATATTTTATAATTTCGTATTATTACTTTTTAAGATACTCCAATTTGCAGTTTTAGAAAAGACTAGGATCTGGGTAGTGCTTAGCTACGCTCTAATTTTACTATAACGCACAGATAAGAATTTTTCTACGTTGTACACCCCACGCACTTATAACAAAAATTAGAATAACTCGAAAAGTAGAAAAAGCACAATATTGGTTATCGACATTAAACATTTTTATTTAGACCATTTTCTTTTTAATAGTAAAAAACAATCATAGGTTTCTATTTAACTTTCGAAAGTTACCTCTATAATCTACCCATTGGGATCATTTTTTTCTTTTAATTTACTTTAATAAATATTCTATATAAATAAATAAATTTTAATCAAAACATTTTTTGTAAAAAAATCAATATTTAACGAAAACATGTTGAGTATACTTTACAAACCATGTAAATAAACTCATCATAATAAAATTAATTTTACTAAACCTTCTCAGCTTAGTATTGAAGCTAAAATTAAATTTATTTAAGACTGGCTAAAATCAATATCAGAAATAGATAAATAAACAATAAAAATTAATTAATGTGCGTTAACCTTTATTGAAAACTAAAGAAATATTAGAATTAAAATTGTTTTATTCAGAAACTTTATAAATGTGTAGTTAATTAAAATTAATTATAATGATTAGGTTTATTGTGTCTGGGTATTATAACTGATAGATATTAACAATGTACAAATATATAGCATTAGTTTTAATATCTGATTTTCAATTAGGTTTTAGTATTGCAAAACCTGTGCAAGAACAATTGCTTGCTTACTTTGATAGACATCCACAGGTAAAATATTATTAACCTAATAAAAAGACTAGTATATTATTCAACAATTATGTTACCAAATTACTTTAGAAATCATATGAAGGGAAAATTTTTTTTCAGAATAAATTATTTTAGATTGAATGACATAAAAATAAAAATAAATTCAAAAAATATAATGTATTACTTAAAATATAATTATATTTTACTAAAAATTACATTTTATTCAAGACATATTATGATCTCTTCCATGTTCTACTATAACAATCACTCACTTAAATTTCCCCTTTAATTTTAAGAGCCTGTTTTATATTAAATAACTAAAATTAAACCATTTGATTTTTTGGCTTACACGTTGTAACTTTCCGCGCTTAAAACTTCTTTACAATAATAGCATTCAATGAATATATTTAATATTTATCTAAAAATATTTTATTTATTCATTAAGTTTTTGAAATACTTAAAATATAAAACTAGATGAGTCAAATTTTTAAATTTACGAATTGCAGAAAATTATATGGCAAAAATTCTTAATGTAATGAAGTGAAATTTAGTGAAAATACAAATTTCTGATAATTTTCAAAAAGTGTCATTTATTAGTTTCCGAAATCCCTTTAAACGTATTATTAGAAAATAATGTATTCTAACAAAATTGTGTGTTGTAGGAAATTGTATGGCAAAAAAAGATGTTAGGTAGCTCATTATATCCGTTTGAGCTTTACTGGCCTCAAACACTCTTTGGAATATTTCTAGGAATAATATTTTGTTTGATATTTCTTTATTTAATAAACTGCAATGGTTCAATTGGAAATCAAAATTGTGATAAATGTGTTTGTAAATGTAAACTATGCACGACCAATCGTTGTAGTCGTAGAAAAGCTGCTCCGTGCCAACGAAACAAAATAAATAATTTAGTTAATCCTTTAGTACATTTACCAAAACAAATTGGTCAAATATGTTGTCAGAAAAATCACAAACGAAGAAATCATTCTTCTTAGATAAATAAGAATTTAAAAAATAAAAAATGTTTTCTTTTTAAAGTCTAAATATATTTTCTTAAAAAGAAGTAAGTAATTATTAGTTCGTAATGTCTGTTTTGACATTTGTGAGAAGTCTAAGATTGTATCTGACTGAATTAGATGATTTTTTAGCGATTAAAATAACTTATTTAACTTTCTAGAACTTTCAATGTATATTTGTTAATTGTAAATATAAAAAATTATATTTAAATATTTTTTAATTAAAATTCAATTTGTTTTATGCTGTATGCGCTTGAATTGTTGCTAAGACAACAATCCTATGCTAAAATATTGATTAAATATTTAATTTCGTATCATATAAGTCTTTAACTCAAATAGTCTTTATCAACTAAAACTCACTATGGAAATGTTGAAGGAAAAAAGTTTGCATTTAACAGTTGAAAAATTAGTGGAAGAACTTCAAAAGTTAGACAACTATAATCATTTTTATGAAGATTTTCAGGTATTCAATTGTTTTCAAATAACTAACAACTCACAAATAACCAATAAATTCCAATTAAAAATTCTGAATTTAGTTAATTTCGTATCAAGTATAATTAATATAATAAGAACAATTAATTTAATTATTCATAGTTGATTTTATAGATAAAAAGGTGATACGTTATAAAAACTATAATAATTTATCACAACTATAAAGAATTTATTCAAGTTATCTTTATTTTTTTTGAATAATTGAGGTTTTCCAAGAGAAAAAAATTATTTTTTATTATTCCTTCTTATTGTAGTTTTTGACTTACTGAGGTTTTATTTATATGGGATATACTGAATTTTTATGATTACCACGTTTATTTATACTTAAATGAAAATGTATGTTTTGTTTTACTTTCTCATTTATTGGATTACAAACGTACTAAATATTTGGCTTTTTAGTTTATAGTTTTTTTTATAATAATTAAAATAAGCAGTAATATATGTTATTTGTTTTGATATTTTTTGAATAAATATTCTATACCTTGAAACCAGCACTCTTTAGAACAATGTACATAAAAGTGTTTTTGATTTATATGGTTTACTAATTTAGATAATTGCTGCATCTTATGATGTAACTTTAGAGGACTTCAAAAATACTTTGGTTGCAGCAGTTCACCAAGGAAGTATGGAAACAAATCTTAGAAATGCTATTTTTTATTGGTTGAGAAATCATGATAATAATAAGCAAATAGTGGTCAGGGAAGAAGTCACACAAAAAGAGTCGTTAGATTACCTTAGAAAAGCTCAAGTATATTTTGTGTATATAATATATATTAAAATTTTATATTGCGTTATGTGAATTTGTGTAGGCCACATGGGAAAGAAGAATTCAAAAATCATTAGAATCAATGTGCGAAGAAATAGGTATACCTCTTTCAAGCCAAAGACCAAATGCTGATAAAGATGATATATCACAAAAATGGAATGAACTTAGTAATTATTCAACAAGTAATATATCGTTCTTAAATAGTTAATATTATATTGGAATGACAAAATATTACACTTTTAAATATATATTATTTAGACTATTAGTCAGGTACTAGATTTAAAATTCTATTACTTTGTTAATATGATTGTTTTTGCAGACTTAGAAAGACTAAGGCCAGTGTATGCACCAAAAGACTTTTTAGAGGTTTTATTTTCACTACACAATCCTAACTATCGAATGTTTTCGTAAGGATTCTTAAATATTTAACTAATCAAAATTACTAAAATTATGTTTGCAATAAAAATGTTATCTTTTTAGTGAAGAAATGAATTGGGACTTCACGTATATTCCTCTAAAAGTGAAAACACTGAATGAATTAGTAAATCATAAATTATATTTATTATTAATTTTATTAATGATTTTTATAATCCACAAAAGATTGTTTTTAGAGATATCATTACAGAGATATAGCTGCGGCAGATTTACTCTTGGGTCTAACAGCTTTGACAGCAGTTTCAAGTGGCCCTATATTACAGGGTGAACAAGATCGTATTAAATTAGGAGAAAACGGTGATTTAAATATAAATACCTTAGTGTGCGTAGGTCAAATATAATTGATATTTCTCGTCAGGGTCCTTCATACCTCGAAAAATGTGCTAAAGAATTAAGTAATTACTGTACTATATCAACAAGGCGATTTCTATACTAATACCATTGCCCTCATCTAGTATAGTATTAACACTGAAGTATTGTGTGGTCATATTACTATATTATGCCAAAAGTACTCTCAACGTCAGGTCAGTCTAAATAATATTTAGAGGCTTTTTATAGGTTAAAGCACTGCGAACAGTAAATTTAGGTTACAAATTTTCCTGTCTTACTTCCTAATGAATAACTTGGTTCTCAAGCACATTTTCAAAGGTTATGAAAAATCATGACGTGATGGTGTCAAACAAACCTCTGATTCAGATTCAGCGATCCCACAAACATAAAGTAAACAGCACTTTTGTTTACTAGCACTTTTCATTCGATATTTTTTTTGGAGCTGTGTTATCCTATATTTGAAATAATGAGATAATATCAAAGAAAAGAAACAATTCTAATCAATGGTAGTAAATAACATTTTTGTAAGTTTATAAATTCACCAACGGGCAATACAGAAACCATATCTATTGATAGTCATAGTTTTCAATAAACAATGTGTGACTGTGATATCGACGTCACAGAAAACCAATTAGTTACCTGTATTTGTAATCCTTTGTGTATTATACATAAATATTAATTCAAAATTTTTTTAAATAAATTTTTATTAAAAATCAAATACCATTTACTATTAAATTTTATTAAATTAAAAATATGTTTAGTGCTTCACTTATTGATTTAAAATAAATAAAAACACTAATTTATATACCAGAAAAAATGTAGACGGTTTATTGTTTAAACACTAAGAAAATGTATATAAAAATTATATTAATGCACTACGTGTATTTAACTACTTAACCGATTAACTTACGATTGGCTAACTAACTGATTGACGTTATTGTTACGTCGCGCCGTTTTATATTGTGTTGAGTTCTAAAAGATTCTCATATGGAGTGATCGAGATCATTCGCGCTATATGCATTTTGTGTTGCCTATCCGTCGCGAAGATTCTGGATCATTCTATAGTCACTACAATGTGTGTTCCCATTCGAAAAAAAAACAAAATTAACACCCTTAAAAGGCAAAAGTCAAAAACTTAAAAAGTATTACTTAGTTAATAACTCAAGAATAATGTGTAACCAAAAATAACCAAAAACATGTTTAAACTGTATTTATTTTGTAAGTAATTGAATGGGTTATGATAAAAAAATCATTTTGTATATTTCATGATTTATCAGCCAATAATTACTTTTTAAAATCATCCATTTCAACGTATAGAAGTGTCAACCTTATATTTTTTAATGACAACAAACATGGTTGACTAATTTTTAAAACAGGAAATAATCTAATTAAGAAAATGACTAGAAAACTTATGGACCAGTATTTAAGAAGTTCTTAACACTTAAAAGTAATGACTTGAGGTAAATAGTAGGTTCTGCTATTTTTATCACTAGTCATTTCCCGACCGTACTCTTCGTCTCATCCATATATAAAAATGAGAATAACATCCAAATGACTGTTTCAAAAGTTGTTACCTTCTAGTTATTTTTTGAATTAGATAATTTTCTATTAAAGTAAATTAAAAATGTATGTTGGCACCTCTATGCGTTGTGAGTTATGATACTAAAATATAAATAAATGTTAGCTGATAAATCAAGAATAATATGTAACTAAAATAAATAAAAAATCATTTGTCTAATATTACATTTATTTTACGATTATAATAAACCGATCACTCTATAAATTATAACCACGTATATTATAATCTTTTTGTTATAATTATTGAAGATCTAGCTTGGTATAAGATCAAATAATCAGAAGTTCTGGTTATTTATCTTATATTCTATAAAAAATTAAGTCTAGTGACTTCTCAATCCCATTTGCAATAGAGACATGGTACTTTTATTGTTATTATCGAATTATTAAATGGTTACTCAATCAAGCGGTTCATTTATTCGAACTAAAAATGCACTTCAGTATACTATGACTTCTTAATTTAATTTAATATAAATTTAATTATATATGTATAATATATAAAATGAATTAACATTTTTTGGCATTCAGTTTTAATTAATGGATATGCACCGGTTTGTCAAGAATTTTTGAAACTTGGAGCGCCACGTAGTCTTCGAGGACAGTTGTGGGCACAAATATTAGGTTCTAATGCAAAATCTTCGGTAAAATATACTATTTAAAATATTTTAACTAAATTCCGGCTCATTTTCATATTAAGTTAGTTTTTAATTTTTTAAATAATTTTTTTTTTTTTTTAGAAACAGCAATATTTAGAGTTAAAAGAACGAGTAATTAATTACGACATGTTGATAGACAAACTAATTACAAAAGATGTACAATTAACGGCGTGTAATGATGATCAATACTTTGTTTTTGAAGATGTGTTGTACCAGGTAAAACAACTATTTAACCACAATGCATATAGTTAAAAATTATTTTCTCATACAATAATATACAGTTTTTAGTCAAAAATAACTGTGTTTGTAATCTGATATGTCAAAAATTTGGTTTGTCATTAATATTCAGAAATAGTGCAATATTATTATTATTTTTTAATTAATAATTAATTTTTTTTTTTAAATTTATGTTTAAGTAATTAGTTTCATTATAAATAATATTTCAATTTAAGGTCATGTTATGTTTCACTCGTGACACTGAAGTATTATCAGTATTTAATAATTCATCAAGCAACCCGATATTGACTCCATTGTATGGTATACCACCTGGTAGTGCTGTTTATCCGCCTAATGGCGTTGTTCCCTTTCATGGTTTTACCATGTATGGTAAGAACTACTTGCAAATAATTAAAAACAAATAAATAATTTAATAATTTCACAAATTATTTTCTAGCTGCTCCATTATGCTATTTGTTTAATGATCCAATACCTTTATATTTTATGTTCAGAGGTCTCTATCTTCGTTATTGGTTCAGACTCCATGAAATATCTTCACATCCACAAAGTATTCTTGGGTTATGCATATTGTTTGAACGACTTTTACAAAGACATGAAACAAAACTCTGGACACACTTAATTAATCATAAAATTCATCCGTGAGTATTATTTATATACAATTTGAGACATTTTATACATAAAAAATTTAGAATAATGTGGACGTGTCACAATAAGAACAAATAGATATCTGACAGTGAATAAAGTTATCATTGATAGCTAGACAATTTTTTTTGTTTTTAACTGCTAAATATTAACACTAAAACTTGAATTTTGATAATTCTTTGTAAAAGAGGGTGTAAAGGGTTTTTAACTTCACCCTTTTCTAGGGCAATATTGTTTGATCTAAATTATACAAAAGTTAATAGAAAAAATTAAAAAAAAAATTATAAAAACAGGAAAAACGAAAACATTTTTGACCAAAATAATATTTATTTCAGGGGCTGTTTATTTGTAGAACAAAAGTCATCGGGATAAATTTATTAAGTTAACATATGTATAAATATATGATTCAAGTTTTGAACAAATCTTGTATAAAGGGAAATGATTTGATTTAAAAAAAAAAGTATGTGAGATAAACGGTGTATAAACAAAATATTTAAAAAAAATTATATCAATCCATACATTTTTCATAATTTATAGCTATTTTGTTAGAAATATAAAATTCAATATCAAAAATAGATGATAAATAACAGTAATTCAGTAACTTTTTTAAAGTTAAGTTGAAAAAGTTAACTTTTCATGCAAAAATTGCTATTTTGAATTATTCCTTGCAGGTAGGTAAAAATATAGATTTTCAAAAAACTTATATTATATAAAAGGGAAAACCTGAGATATTTATACAAAATAAATTTGTTTTGATACATTCGTTTTTCAAAAATTTATAAGAAAATTGTAAAAAATGTTGAAATATATCGATTTAAAATCGTAATTTTTGGGATATTTCTACCATTTACGGGGAACGGATAAAAATTTTTCAATTTTTAAAGATGTAATTTCTTCAAATAAATACGATTTGTGATCTTTTGACGTATGTTTTTAAAAAATTAATCCAGTGAAGTCTGATAAAAAGTAATGAAATACAAAAATATAATAATAAATAAATACAACATGGTAAAATTAATATCTTTTCAGTTTCCCATCGAAGCTAAAAAAATCAATTTGAGATAATTAAATTGTATTGACAAATTTTCTTTTATTTAAATTTTTTCAACGCTTAATACGGACTGATAAGTTATTATTCTTTTTTGCATGATATTAAACAGGATCGTATAATATATATAGTTGAAATTTTAGCACCAATCTATGTCTTAAATTAAATGATAAACTTTTAAGATTAAACCTAGGTTGAGTTATTATTATCCTACATTTGCTGAAAACTTACAAAATTCTTACAGTATTAGAGTAGTATTCAAATGGCTCATGCGAGGTTTTAGTGGACATTTACCTCCAGAACAATTGCTCAATTTATGGGATCTAGTTTTAGCTTATGATTCATTAGAAGTAATACCACTTTTAGCAGTTGCTATTTTGAGTTTTCGAAAAGAAAATTTATTACAAGTCGATACAATATCGAATATTGAAGTAAGTTGTATCTAATTTTATTTTATTCGAATTAAGAGATACCATATTACCATGTTTCAAAAGCCTCAAATATTTTCGTTAAAAATAGGGTTAAACTTGAAGCTAAAAAATCGATTATGATAAACTTAACTCACTTAAATTTTAAACTACGGATCTCACAATTTTATAATCTTAACTTGAATATAATATAAAATTATTCATACTAATATAATTTATTTTTATTTAAAGTGTGTTTTAGCTGATTTATCTTCGTTGAATGTTATGTCACTCTTACAACTGGCGCTTAAAGGACCAACTAAAATTTGAAAAATAAGATATTTAACTAAAATGTTTTTTTTCGTTATTTTATAATCTTAAATGTGATGAACTATTATATAAAAAAAATAATATGCACAATAAAATTATTTTTAAATGTAATATATTATTATGTCCATTTGAAGATTTAAATGTATATTAATGTAGTAGACTATTAGAAAAAAAGATTCGTTTATGTTCCTTTATATAGCTTATACTTCGGAATAACTCGTTAGCTTGATATAGTGATACTATAGACAGTTAAAGTTATATAATATATGATATATTCTACAACTACTTCAATTACTTCCTATATTTAGGCTTTTTATTAAGTATTTCAAAAAAGATACCAAAAAAAGCTTATTATCTCTAGTATACTATATTAAAATGTTTTATTAGAATAAGTAATTTATAAAAAAAGTTTTAAAATGCAGAATATTTTATTTTTTAGAAAATACAGTTTTATATTGTAGTATTATATTGATATATTTTTCTATATTCTAAAATAGATGGGGTTTATGATAGTCTGCACAATTATTTACAAAATAAAAATAAAATATATAAATTTTAATGTGACCAATATTTTATTTATTTACTAATTCAAAGACATTTTGCAATAATTTAAAATATAATAATTATATCTTTATTTGAGTGATAATTATTAGTAAATTTCTTTAAAACTATTTTGAATGATTAAAATTTAGTTAAAGAAATAAAATAATAAAATAATGAATAATAATTAATTTTTAGGATAATTTTTTGACAAGGTGAACACTTCAAAGACCACTTCTTGAATACTAAAAATTATTAAGTAAAAATTAATAAAAGTTTTAATTTTTACTTAATATTATACATAATCATATTTTAACACATAAAAATATACAATATTTATATAGATTAATTCCGTTAAAAAGTAATGTTATAATTTTTAATATATCCTAGTAAACATATCTTCTAGATAAACTTAAAACGTTGGTGATACTTTTGTTTATTTAAATTTAGCTAAATAAAGATAAATTATTTTCATTTGTGATTCATGCATAAAATAATTTTTAATAAAATAAATATGGACGTCGAGAATGAAAATGTAGAGCTTTTAAAGTATAGTGATGTTAATGACTTTCCAACTACTATCCTAAACCAATTATCTAATATAGTGAAAATTATTAAATATGGAACAAATACGCAACAATTAATGCAAATGGTAAACTCAAGGTAAGCTACTAAACTTGGACAATATTTAATGTTTCGACAATGAAAAATAATAATATGTACAACAGACTCAATGATTCTGAATTTGATAAGATTTGTAAAGATATACTAAAAAAAAGGAATCAAATAATGCAAATGCAACAGCAAAGTAATATTGAATCGAGTCTAGCTGAAAGTGTGGACGCAATCAAAAGTGATTTACAAACATCTATAGAAAATGAAAGTAAACTTAATATTTTAGTTAATTTACGGCTAATTTATTTGTTTAACTTATTAGCATATCACAAAAAAATTATTTTATTATGCTTTCATAGATTTTAAGAATTTTTATCTTGGAATTATTTTTTTTTTTATATGGCATTATTTTCTTACCTTCTTTAATGGAATTATACTTCATTCAACTAAACTCTTTAGAAATGTTACTATTTTTTACCAATGATATTTATTTTAGAGTTGCAACNTATATGGCATTATTTTCTTACCTTCTCTAATGGAATTATACTTCATTCAACTAAACTCTTTAGAAATGTTACTATTTTTTACCAATGATATTTATTTTAGAGTTGCAACCAACAGATATCAAAAACATATGCAATCAGGCTGTTAATCTTCGGTTGTCATATATCAAAAACTCAAATAAGTTGACACTAGTAGAAGAATTTATAAAACAAACTGAGGTTGTTAAATTAGACTTTTCAAAATATGTATAATATTGTAAAATCACAACTTCCTTAGGTAAAACTACAAGATATATCAAAAATAGAAGATGATTTAGATCAGGTACACAATAATTCATGTTCAAAAAATAATTTATTGAAACAATGTAGTGTTAAAATAGCCAAATCAAAATACGCAGCTTCTTTAAAGTCAGTTGATCACGAGTCCTCATCGAATGCTGTAAAGCGAGTAGAACGAGACAGAAATAATTTTCCAACAGTTAAAACTCGTCTTGAACGTATTAGAGAGATTCCAACTAATAATTCACAAAGCAAAGTTGATGCACCAGCGTTAAAATTATATACTAGAACAGCCAATAACAATTTTAGTCGCTCAAATATTGACATGAATTCTAGGTTAGATACGTATAGTACACTCAGGGTAAATAATTAGGGTATGGAAACTTTTATTCTTTGACAAAAATAATTATTAAGTTCTTAAAACGTGTGCGTTCTTGCAAATACAAATAAATTAGATTGATGAAAAATGTATAAGAGAAAAAATGAGATATTTTAATCCTAATTTAAATAAATTTAACATATTTTTTAAGTTTCAAAAACTATGTATGAACATTGTATACAAGGGCTCAGTAAGTAATAAAACAGGGTTCTATTGTTTTCATTATTTATAACAATTGACTTGTTTCCTTACTTACTGAACATCTTGTATAATTTTTTGGTATTTAAACTACCATTTATTAATTAAAAGGTAAAAAGTAATATTAAACAAAAATATCGATGTATTCCTAATAAAGTATTTTTAATTATTATTAAATCTATTATTTCCAATTTAATTAAATTTCAATAATTTAGATTACGTAGCAACGAGGATCACTTTTACCGGGAAAGCATGTTTTCTGCAGACGACTACTTGTTTGAATTTTCTAGTTCAAACAACAGTACTTTGAATCAAGACAAAGATTTTGATGATACAAATAGCGGAGATATATATTTATCATTGGTACCATTTAATAATGAGACAATTGATAATAATAATAATAATGATTAGACTACTTTCTGAGTGGGTTTTTATTAAAATAAATTAAATTTTGATAAAAATGTTTTTTACTTTTATTTTTTTATTGTAACAATTCTTAGTTAATAATTGAAATAATAAACATAAATGTAAAGATTATTTACAATTTTCTCTAACTTTCTTATTTAATTATAATGAAAATGTCGCAACGTTGTACTTTAAATATAACATACATTTAAAAAAGTGTGCTTGTCCAAAGGATTAGAGACAATAATATGTCAGTGCAAACTTACCACACGCTATGTTTAAATATTTTAAATACAAATAATTTTCACTCATTTCACTATAAATACTATATTAGGCGGTGTTGGGTAGAGTGCGGCAATAGTTGATTCCCGTCCTCACACATCTTGTGGCGCTCGTGTATGACCAGTTCGAACGTGCTTGTGCCACATTCAGCTGTCGTCCCTTCCTCAGCAAGCGTTTATTATGATTTATTATTTTTTTACATTTTCCAAACTATTTTCATATCATACTAAGATTTTACTAATAACATTTTTGACAAATTTCCTATAATCAATATGGGTATTTTTAAAACTTCCACTATACTTGTCAAAATAAAATTATAAGAACATGTCTATATCTATATTCAAAGTATGATCAACAAGACTATGGTGGTCCAGCGTTTTTCATCGTAAACCCTTGGCTGGCACGGGCACATATTAACTTCGTTAATATATATTAATTATTATTACAATACTCTTAATATCCTAACGTCAACTGCCTAAGTGTTACCAAAAAAGTAGGACTTAGCCGAAAGTCTGTCGCGTACACGAATGAGTACTACTGCTATATTAATTAATATTACGTTTCTTTACTCTGTTACGGATATTTTAGACTGTTAATGAACGAGGGCCACAATAATATTTAAAACTCTTCATAAAAAATATAACTAATATATCTGAATAAATATTATTATGTTTGAACTACATTAATATGAATTTAATTATTTTCAATATTTTTTAATTAAATAACTACTTGAAGAAAAATGAATAACAATAATATTGCTACAATAATATAAAAATACATAAGTGTATAAACAATTATAATAAAAATATATCGAAATTTACTGATTTTAATAATCGTAATTTTTTTGAGAAATTATCTCATTTACAGGAAATAAGGGAAGTTTTTCAATTCTGTCTTCAACTAGATATGATTTATGATCTTTTGAGGATTTTTAAAAGGAATTTTATAATGGTTTTAAAAGAAACGCCAAATACTATTTCCTTAATTATATCATGATTACAAGTTTATTTGTTTAATATTTACATATGAATAATTTAGTATGGTAATTTTTACGGATATATTATAAAAAACCCAGCACACTGAGGATGTGGCATAGTTGAGTCAAGTATAATGATATCTGACAGTGATTTTATCACTATCCTAAAAAACGCTTCGATGCAAATCTGTAGATAATGTTTAATTTTAAAAAATTAGTGAATTATTCAAAAAGCTACATGATCTCCTATTTCCTTATTCATATCCTGATAACAAGTTTTATATATATATATATANTTTTACGAATTAGAGATATTAATTCGTTGGAAAACCAGTTTGGGAAAGTAGATTTATTCGGAGTGGTTTTTGGAACTGTTTTTTCAATAACTGAAAAAATCAATTCATAAAACCTATCAACTGCTAAATTTATATTATTACATTCATATAAATAAGACCAATTTAAATTATTTAACAATTTATTTAATAAAACATAATCTACTTTTTTAAAGTTAAATTCTTTATTAATGGCTGCTGATTGACTAGGTCTTATATTAATGTCAGAACTAATGTAAAGTGCTGGGTGAAAACTATCAACAGGAACTAAATTATCTTCACTTTTTTTAACACGGGTAGAATTATTAGATACAAATATTAAATCTAATATCTTTCCAGAATCATTTCCAACTTCATTTACTTGATAAAAATTTAAATGTGAAAATTGCTCAAAAATAATATCAGAATTTTGAGAATAATTACCTAAATATACCATACCAAGATCATCATTAGAAAACTTAACATTTGGTAAATTATAGTCTCCAGATAAAATAATTTGTGTATCAACAAATAATGAGCACAAATAATCAATTGCCTCAGTGTGAGCTACATAAGTACTAAATGGGCTTACAGGTGGTATATAGCAAGTACCTAACAAAAACTTATTGTTATCACCAGCCTCCACCAGTACAAACAGTTGTTCAACACTAGTAATAGGAGTGAAAACCTGTTTTGAACTATATTTCTTATGAACACAGATTATTACACCACCACCACGCAAATATGAACTAGTAGAAACGCTGCGGTCGGTTCGAAACACATTGTAATCATTAAAGCCTAATTCAGAATCTAATATATCTGCATTCAACCATGATTCAGTCAACATGAAATAATCAACATTTATAAGTGGGATATTACATTTTAAAAATTTAATTTTAGTTCGTAAACCTCTAACATTTTGATAAAAACCACTAAAAGTACGATTTGTAGAATTCTTATTACTATTATTATAAACACAGTTTTTATTAATTTTTTTACAGTGGGTACAAAAATATTTACTTTTGTGATGATCTTCGGACGAAAGTGAACTTAGTTTTTTGAACTGATTTTTGGTACGCCTTGGACATATTTTATTACTAAATTTTTTTCTCCAGCATCCCGTCTATGGCGTAACTCCTCGCGTAATAATTTCATAGTGTTTTGTTGAGATTTTGTAAGATCAGGACTTAACCAAACATTTTTCCACTTTTCGATTAATCTCAATTTTGATTTCGATTTTAACAACTCCAATACTTTCAACTTATTATCAAATTTTAAGAGAAGCGGGCGGTTAGCTGAACCATCTTTGCCAATACGTTTAGCAAAAGTAAGGTTACTATTTAAATTTAAGTCAGTCAGTAGCTCTTTAGCAATTTCTAATGGCTCTTGATAACGTTCATTTGGTGACTCAGCTAAATTAAAGACTACTATATTATTACTTTTAGTAAGTCGATGTTGTGCTTCTAAAATAATATCTTCAGAAGATAAATTTTTACCTGAGGTGAGGGATTCCATATTGGATATTTTACCTCTAAGATTATTTATTTCAGATTTAAGATTTTCATTTTCCTTTTTTAAAGTGTTAATAGAGCTTAACATTCCTTCTAGAGTATTATTAAGAACAGAGAAATTAGTTTCATATTTGGAAAGCTTATCATTAATGGATATAAACTTTTGGTCTTGAGATGATTCAATTTGCTTTAATTTCTTCATTACATCCGAGAGAGTAAACTCACTATTATTTCGCGATGACGATGACGAAGTTTTTTTCAAAGGTGTATCAATTTTAGAGTTATTTGACATTTTGATATTTATAAATAATTATATAAAAATTAATATTTTTACATAAAAATCAGACAAAAGCTCAAAATTTATTCTTTAAAGAAGCTTAAATATACTGTATTTTAAAGTTTAAAATAATACGAGTGCGACGTGCAGTCGAACGTCTTTACTGCTTAATAGACAGTACTGTACTTCCTCAGCAAGCGTTTATTATGATTTATTATTTTTTTACATTTTCCAAACTATTTTCATATCATACTAAGATTTTACTAATAGCATTTTTGACAAATTTCCTATAATCAATATGGGTANAGCATTTTTGACAAATTTCCTATAATCAATATGGGTATTTTTAAAACTTCCACTATACTTGTCAAAACAAAATTATAAGAACATGTCTATATCTATATTCAAAGTATGATCAACAAGACTATGGTGGTCCAGCGTTTTTCATCGTAAAC